TAGCACACTTGGTTTTTTTTGAATCGTATACTCAAACAAAGGTCATTATTCGGTTTAAAGAAAGTTGTTAATTATGATTTTTTAGGATCGTTAAATTTATATTTATAAAGCACGGTACCTTTCTGATTACTAAAGCTACTTATGGTATGCGTTCAATGCAAATTTTATGAGCCTTTATACTTCTTAACAATGTAGTGAAATGTATGAATTTCCTTGCATGGAAAGTATGCAGCCTATATTTTTGAAATCTTAGGCGGAATCAAAACTATTCGGACACTAAAAGTTTTTGAAACATAAGGACTTCTTATATTCGAGTACGAAATTTGAAGAAGACGCAATTTTCTACGAAAATAGTGCAAGGACGGATGTTTTCGTGCACGTTTTATATAAAATACGTTTGAGGTCGCAGGGGAGTCGGTAATTAACTGGAAAATTTTATACTATATAAGCAGTCAGTTTTGTCCGGCGTGATTTATAAAGGCGGCTGAAAAGAAGTTCACTTCGAAAGCTGGCGTCCTTATATGACTGAAATATCAATGGTAATCAGTATCACAGCCCCACCTAGGCTACCCTTTCTAATTGAAAACGCATTTCAGAGTCCCGGTTAACATTTCACTAGATAGACCAGCTACTGCGAATACAATTTAAATACGTATTGCCATCTCAGACAAAACACCCCTCGGACTAAGCGCCCGAAATCGGGCAGATGTCTCAACTTAAACGCGGCAACTGGGAAGGACCGCTGCGTCCGATCTCATCTTCCTTCAGTCACAAGTTGCACTCAGTGTAATTAAATTCAAAGATCTCCTCATGCAGTGGTACTAGTGGAGGTGGCGGTGGTCGAATTTGTCAAGCAAATCGCAAGAATCGCACTGCGCACGAGCCGTTGTAATGGAAAGATGTACAGCCCTAAAATGCCGGGAGATGGGATGGAGCGGCTGGTTTCGCTGCTGGAGTAAGAATAAAGTCGCGATAACTGAAAGGTTGTTGGTTGTAAACTTGAACTCCCTTTTTAATGTGTCTGTTTACAGAATTGTGATCAGGAGGTACTTGAGAAAGGATTTTAACCTGCATAAACGGACGATCGATTAAAAGAAAAATGTCTGTCCTTAAGTAAGAATATATACATATATACATATATACATACATACATACATACATACATACATACATACATACATACATACATACATACATATACATACATATACATACATACATATACATACATATACATATACATACATACATACATACATATATACATACATACATATATGTAAACCGCAGAAGGGCGTTACGGAACTTACTCGCCCCGTTATGCCTTAGAGCTCCCTCTCTCGAGCCCAACCAGTGATCGCACAGCGGCACATGATATAGGCAGAATGGTATTGCCTACAGACAAGGGAGATTGGAATGGCCATTTCCGGCTTATTAACCGTCGTCAGCCAATCATACACAACCCCGAAGTGTGGGACACCTGGGGTTCGATCTCGCAATCTGCAAGTTAGAAATCTAACGCCTCTAACCACTGAGCCACGATCAGTGAGCGCCCCTTCGCCATTGTTTATTCCCCGATCGCAGCTGACAAAACGACGAGCCCCTGGCTCAATAATTAGATGCGATGGATTTCTAACTGACAGGTCGCGGGATCGAGCTCCAGGTGTTCGACATTTCGAAGGTGGGGGTGACTGGCTGGCGACGGTTAGTAAGCCCCAAATGGCCACTCCAGTCTCCCTTGTATTTGTCAATAATACCATTCTGCATATGCATATATACACATATATATAGCGGCGAGGAAGGACGACAGAGAATGCAGTATACAGTAATGTTTCGGGCTTATTGTGCCTTCATTCAAGCAATCATAACCCTGACCACCAGCTGGGACCAGAAACACAAGCACGCTCACGGACACACCTGGCGCAGTTGGTCCACCACTGGGGTCTACCAGATGGGTCGTGAATACTTCATCGAACCGAAGTTAATCAGTGCCTCGCCACCTGTCATCCTCTGTCGCTGCACATCGGGTATTTATCCAATCAGGAATGGGCGCACACCGATCTACTGGCCGACTTCGGCCCGGTACTTGGTTGCCTGTTCGTGACCTTTGCCACCCATTCAGAGCTCGTTTGCTTCGGGAAGCCAACAGAGCGGTGTGCTCTCATTCCTGATTGAAGATATATACATATATATATGTTGGAAAGGTAATACCGACAAAGACAAGGGAGACCGGAATGGCCATTTCTGGCTTATTAGCCGTCATCAGCCAGTCATACCCAACCCCAAGTGTGGATCACTTGAGATTCGAACCCGGGATCTTTGGTCATGGAGTTGAACGCTCTACCATTGAGCCACGGGCCCGTTGTCCTGTCGGTTGTGATCGGGAATATTAATTATGATAGTGGGCGCTCACCGATCAGGTTACGGAACATGCTCGTTCCGTTGTGCCTTGGGGCTCATACTTAAACCCTCGCAGGCAGTCGCACAGCGACTAGTGATATATGTTGGAAAGGTAATACCGACAAAGACAAGGGAGACCGGAATGGCCATTTCTGGCTTATTAGCCGTCATCAGCCAGTCATACCCAACCCCAAGTGTGGATCACTTGAGATTCGAACCCGGGATCTTTGGTCATGGAGTTGAACGCTCTACCATTGAGCCACGGGTCCGTTGTCCTGTCGGTTGTGATCGGGAATATTAATTATGATAGTGGGCGCTCACCGATCAGGTTACGGAACATGCTCGTTCCAGTGTGCCTTTCCAACATATTTCACTAGTCGCTGTGCGACTGCCTGCGAGGGTTTAAGTATGAGCCCCAAGGCACAACGGAACGAGCATGTTCCGTAACCTGATCGGTGAGCGCCCACTATCATAATTAATATTCCCGATCACAACCGACAGGACAACGGACCCGTGGCTCAATGGTAGAGCGTTCAACTCCATGACCAAAGATCCCGGGTTCGAATCTCAAGTGATCCACACTTGGGGTTGGGTATGACTGGCTGATGACGGCTAATAAGCCAGAAATGGCCATTCCGGTCTCCCTTGTCTTTGTCGGTATTACCTTTCCAACATATATCACTAGTCGCTGTGCGACTGCCTGCGAGGGTTTAAGTATGAGCCCCAAGGCACAACGGAACGAGCATGTTCCGTAACCTGATCGGTGAGCGCCCACTATCATAACATATATATATAAGCATTTTCCGCTTACTAGCCCTCGTCGATCATCTATACTGAAACCCAGGTTTACTGATTATGAGCCCCAATCCACGTTCTTTGTCCTTCTTCTGCACGTATTCCAAGACACTGTGCGACTGCACGTGAGGGCTCTGCATTCAGCCCAACGGAACGAGCATATACACTATCAACCAGAACCCGAAACTGTTCAAGTCTGAGTCGCGGGTCGTTGTCCTGTTAGCTATGATTAACAATTCCAAACTGCTATGGAAGGTCTGCTTGCCAAGCTCACGGCGTTACTCATTCTTCCATCAATTGAAATACCTACTTACACCTAAGCTGTCTGATAGATGTACGTTATGCGATCTCCCAAATCCTACCAGTGTTTTGCTTCGGCCCTTCACTAAATGACGACAGGAAACAGTCTTTCTCCTAGATACGACCATGTAAAGATTGAGTTGGGGTAACCTCGTAAAAAGTGTCCATATAAAAGATCTTTACGAAGTTGGGTTTGAGAGTTAGTCTGAGACGTCAGGCAAATAAAATTCACGTTTCGACGATATAATTTCTTCCCCATACTTTCTTTTTAATACGGCCTTACGGCAAATCTCATTGATGTGAGATTATAACCAATAATGCGCGGTCTGTGTAGAGCCAGGAACCGAGTTTATAATTATGAGATTTTTTTATATCGTAAAGTGCCCGTTCATAAAACGTTATGTCTCTGAATTTACTAATGTTGCTTGTAAAGTTTACAATGTGGCTCGAATCCACTGCTAAAGTTTATGAGCCCTTTATGGTCTCCTCTTAATACCGTAGAGAAGTGTATGGTTTTCCGTACGCGGAAAATATACGGCTTGTAGTTTTGAAACCCTGAATGCAAGCATAACGGCTGGTCCCGTTCAAAGTAATTCGGGAATTGGAAAAGTTTTTGGAAACCGAATTATACCCTTCCTTCAAGTATAAAATTGAAAGAAGAAGCCATTTTCAACCGAATGAGCAAGAGAGTGAATATTGTCATGCATTTTTCCATGAAATATTATTTATTTTTTTAAGTCGTCAAACATCAATGAGAAAAATGCATGCTACTTAGGTAGTCATTTCTACAGAGTGTGGATTTTGCCTGCGTCCAGGAAGATGTTCGTTTGAAAGTCAGCATCCCGGAATTATCATAAACTTATGCTGTATGATAATTAATTTTAAAACCCTGCTTAAGTAATCTCTTCGAAACGAAACCGCATTTCAGAATTTCGGTTAGCACTTCAGGAGTTAGCACACCTACTGTATATTACGACGGTGTCATAATGCTAGGCATTGTCTTCATGTTGGCGGAAATCATCTTTCTCTCATTCGATTAGACAACGGGTTGGACCTTTTAAATTGTGAGGCGGCAGTAATGGTCGTGGACGCATGTTTGGGCGTGCTACAGGGGTCCGTGTGTTTCCGGCGTCCTCATGGTGCAGGTATTTGCATTAGAATAAAAAAACATCACGGTTACAATTGTAACTGACTGTTCTGTCAGCGCTGATAACAGTATAAATCCTAAAAACAGTTAGTATACTTGTTCTGAGTGCATTTAGCAGTAAACGCTGGCCTGGTATGCTGTCCAACCCCGATTCAACCGGTTACCTTAACAACCATTACCGTTATAACAACAGTGGTACCACTGATAAGATCAGTAGTCCAGGAGAAAAACAGTCCTACACATTAGCGGCTCCATCAACAACACAGCGTGTTTTATGCTGCCAGGTAAAGCTCCTTTTAGGAGGCAGGTCTTATCGTGTGAGGTCATTTGCTCAGACTGTTTACTGGAATAACATCCATTAACAAGAAGAAGAAAAGGGAAACCAACCGCCTCGAATGGAAAGGCCGCCATTGTTTCGCTGCAGACTGTTTCTTGTCACCGTGACGTAGGTTGAGTTGTGATCTACTGGCAACTGCATGCAGGCTGACAAAATCTGTTTGGAGGCCGCTGGTTCGGTAGCACCGGTGCCATCCATGGGGGAGGCTTCAAGCGACGGAAATCGCAGTTCAAAGTTCTTCCCCGCCACCTTCTGCTGACGCATGACATGCGCGCCCTGCTGAAGATGCTCACCGCCAAGGGTGGGCGAGGCCGCGGAGGTGAATCCACTGCCAGCATAGAGGCGCTTCCGTACACAGGCAGTGGCCAAGATGATGACGATGAAGAGGAGAGCAGCCACGGCAGCCACCATCACCGCGATCACAATGAGTGATTCCGAATTGCCGAAACGATCCTCCGAGTCTGTGGGTCTGGCTGCAAGTGCGGTCTTCGACTGCTGACCACCGGGACTTAGAAGAGCATGCGAAGGCGACGGCGGCGGCTGTGGCGGCGTCGCTGCTGCTGCTGCCAGTCTATGTCCTTCTCTCGGCGAGGCATGAGCACTGCTCAGGAGGGGCTTCTGTAGAGCGCTGTTTGTCAGTTTCTGTGGACTTGGTGGGACATTGATGCCCAGGCCGCTGGGTCTGGAGAGCCGAATGTCCAAGACAGCCGTTGTTGAGCGCACCGGCTCACCGCCATCGGAAGCGCGCAGGTAGAGACGGAAGGTCTTCAGCGAGAGGATGCGGAGACGGTTCTCGTAGAGACTGCTGGCTCCTAACAGGCGACTGCCACTGTTACTTCTGTTGCCCTCGTCTAGTAACTCCTGATGGAAGGGTTTGCTAATGTACAGCCAGCCAGTCTGCTCATCCAGATCGAAGTGACCTTCCTCATTGCCACTGATTATGGAGTAGGTGACTTTGCCCCGCGGGCCCTCGTCAGCGTCGCTGGCACTGAGCTGTTGAATGAAGAGCACGGAATTCAAAGCTTAGAAAGCACAGCGCACTGACGGGTATGTTTTGATTTTTTTTAAGTATGTCAACATGAGCAGGCAGTGAACAAAAAGACATGCGTTTTAAGGAATAAAAGCGCTAGTAAAAAGAATGAGGACTGTTCACGAAACCGTGCGTCTCGGGTAAAACTTATGAGGGGGCGTGGTCTTGCAAGTCATCGATAAATCCCTGTGCTGGCCGTCCACAACACACCGCACCGCACACGGACAACTCAGTCAGACAGAGTCGTGGCAGGGCACGAGTGCTACGGGGCCTAACGGTTGCAAGTCCTGTAGAAGGAGACACGATTGCTGGGACAAGAGCCCTATTAGTCTGACGTTTCGGATCCCAGCTCGTACCCATCATCAGAGACAAAAGCCCATACGGGTAGTTCATGCCTAAGGGACTGCAGTATTTATAGGATGCAGTCGCCATGCTACCGCATACCTATGAATGTTCACTGCTCCCCCCTCCCTTCATCCTGGATCGTCGCACTTGGTGTGCTAATTGTTTGATGGCCGACATTCGCGTCGTCAATTGTTGCAATTTCATCACGTGCGTTGGATGTTGGTGTGATGATTGCCCGACCATCTGATCCACCGACAATGACGTTGGGAAAGGTGTTCACCTGTGCGACGACGAATGTCGGCCATCAAACAGCCATCACACAACGTGCAACGATCCCTGATGAAGAGGGAGCCGTGAATATTCATAGGTATGCGGTAGCATGGCGACTTTATCCTATAAACACTGCCGCCCCTTGTGCATGAACCACCCGTATCTGCTTTTGCCCCTGATGATGGGTACGGGCAGGAATCCGAAACGTCAGGCTAATAAAGCTCTTGTCCCAGCGATCGTGCCTCTTTCTTCATGACTGCTCCCTGGGACTCGTCTCTTCGCTTCTATGAGTTGCATGTCTCCTATCACCCTTCACCCCTAGGGCACTGACTCCATGTACTACGTCACGATAGATGGGGGGCGGTTAGTGGCCGCATCATAAACCACCGCCCACTGCCCCTCCCATGGGGCCTGGATGGTTGACCTCTTAGGCCGTGGTGGCAGAGCAGCATTGGCCGGAAGCTTTCGAAATGCCATAGTAACGATGAGCTAGGTTCAGGTCATGCCAATGTAAAAATTGATAATGATGGCAGGATTCATTGTTTGTTGCCTAGCAAAATGAAAAAAAGAGAGAGAGATGAGCATTTTTCGGTAAATACAAACCTGGTATCATGTTTTTCGGATCCCTGGATGGGTTCGGTTGGCTGACGACGATAAATAAGCCAGAAATGGCCATCCCTGTCTTCCTTACCTTTGCCGCTACCACTTCTGCATATATTACTAGTCACCGTGTGACCGTTCGCGATGGCTCTAAATCCAGCCTCAAGGTACAATGAGACAAACACTTCCCGTAACCTTATCGGCACGAGTCCTCCCGAAAGGAGGACAGGCCCATAGCTCAAATCGTAGCGTGCTGGACTTGAAAACGCTCTGTCACTAATGCATCCGGATATGAACCCCAGGTTATGCGATACCGACGTCGGTTAATAAGCCGGAAGTGACCACCCCCAGTTTCCTGTCGGTATCGCTTTCAGTTCGACTGGTTTGCCACCAAAGGTCACATTTCGAAAGAACTGCTTAGTCAATTGAGGATCAGATGTCATCAAGGGCTACTGCAAGAACAGGACAATCACCGGAAAACGGCAATGCGAGCTGAACCGAGTATGCTCAATTTCGCGAGCACTATAAATAGAGCCCAAAACCCAGGGTTTGACACTTTGACTAATTGTCCAGCAGCGGGCAGCGACCGCACAGCGACACAACGACGCTGGTTCACTTACCATAAATGTGCCAGGCTTCAAGTTTAGGATGCAGATATGTACCCCACTGTCAACTATGACGCAAGGCTACCTGTAATCAGAATTGGCGGTAATAAGGACCGTTCAGGAAAAGAAACGTGGTGTTCTTAAATATACATATATAGGCAGTATTTTATTGCCGACAAAGACAAGGGAGACTAGAATGACCATTTCTGTCTTATTAGCCGTCGTCAGCCAGCCATACCCAACCCTGAAGTGTGGAATGCCCGAGGCTTCGGGGTTGGGTACGATTGGCCTACGACGGCTACTTAGCCAGAAATGACCATTTCAGTCTCCCTTGTGTTTGTCGGCAATACCATTCTGCCTATATCCTGCGCTGCTGTGCGGCTGCTGGTTGGGCTCGAGAGAGAGAGAGAGAGCCCGTAGGGCACAACAGAACGAGAAAGTTCCGTAAGAACGATCGGTGAGCGTCCCCTACCATTGTATATATATAAAGGGAAATTTTTGGTTATTTTCAAACTATTTGCGGGTCTTGAGCTCAAGCTGCAGTCACCAAAGAGACATCTGACAGAATAGCGAGGGAAAAAAGCATGTGAATGAGCCGAAGAGACCTGTTAGACCGTCAACGCCCAAAACAGTCAACAGTCCGTCATCGCGTTCCTTGTAGACTCTGAGGCTTTTTGTGTTCTAGTTAGGTATCCCTCAAACAAACGTGTTGGTGACACTACTGGCCGCGCGCGTGAGATTAAAAACGGAGGAGGGGGGGGAGGGCCCTGTTTAAATAGCCCAGATTCTTGCCACCACTAAAGGCGGTAAGTGGCCTACCAGACCTTTTCGTCGAACTCGGCCATTTAAGTCGACAGGACACACGGTTCTAATTTCCTCAATACCGCGTTTAGACAACAACTGCGTGTTTGGTAATCTCTTTGTGGTGTTCCCTATCGCGTGCTGGCTGCGTATTAAGCCCTGTCCATTAGAAGAACGGTTGAAAAGTCGGCTTCTGTGGGCTTGAACAGTTTGACACGCTCGTGTTCTGCCGCGTGCCTTACGACAGCAGCCAGCCAGCCACCCCCACCCATTCAGCTACCTATGGGAAGGGGGGAGGGGTTAGCGCAGGCGGATGGGGTGGGGGGAGGAGCGGTGTCAGGCAGGAGATGCAGGTCCCGCTGTAGGTGATAATGGCAACCAGTCCTCATATTACCTCCGCCCCCCCCCCCCCTCCTAGTGGACACATACGGCGTGCGTGCACAGGCCCTGTGAGTTGCTTTGTGCCCCCTTAATGGGACAACCAGGTGGCGGAGAGCAGGATTGCGCCATCGAGTTTGCGGATGCCACGGCGCCAGATAATGGTGAGGAAGGGGAGGGAGGCGAACGCTGGCACCGGCTGCCGGCGCGCTGCCGGCGCGCCGCCGCCGCCGCCGAGGCGCTGGTAGTAGCAGCTCGCTCGGCCGAACGATAAGGTGTGTGCGCGATATGGGGTCATAGGCTGACTGGGGGAGGGGACGGGGGGTACGGCGCCGAATGGGGCTGCGCTGTCTCTCTCTCTCTCTCCCGGTCACGCAATCGCGTAGGCGCTCTCCTGCGACCTGATAACAACACACCCGGTCGCCTCCGTCGTGAAGACGGATCAGATACGCACTCGGCGAGGGTGTTGACAATGCCGGCCAGCTGACCAGTAACCCGAGTGTACAACAGTTTGAGCTGGCAGGCCAGTTGAGCGAAAGGGGCGGGGCCGGGAGCAGATCGCATTAGGCGCCTTGGTAGGAGGAAGAGGACGAGCAGGAGTGTTCCCCTGCCACCAAGACTATCAGAAGAGCGGCGATGACGGCGGAGAAGCAATGCCACTGGCGCCGAAGCCCGCTGCGGCGGACGTAAGCATCAGGTGGTCAGTGTTTGATGCCTTTTACTCCTTTGCCAGAGACGTACGTGCGCTATGGTCGTCGTTCTCTCTCTTCCTACGTCTCCTAATACTACCTCCACGCAACCCCTGAGTCCGTCTCACACACAGCGCACAGTCTCTCTCTCTCTCCCCGGGAATCTCATTAACTCTCCTTCTAATTAGCAGGCGCACGCTAGGCCACAGAGCCAGTGCCCTTGGCTATTTTTCACATCCCTCTCATATGGAACCACAGAGCGCCAGCTACTAGGGGGAGGGAGGAATGGGAACAGTCTCGGCTGTCTCGATTATTCACCGTTTCTGTGGGCTACTCCCCCTGCTGCCCTCAGCCAGCGCCATCAGGAAATGTCGGGCGGCCGGCACTGTCGTATCATTTTAAAGCTCTCTTTCGCATTATTCTCGATCTCCTCCCCCCGGGGCCTACTTCGCTCAACTGAAACCTACACCTCATCCCCTGTGACAAGAGGGAAAAGGCACGTCTCAATTTCTATTTTTTTCGC